CTGACGCGGAAACGTAAAATGTTTCGCCGGCACTTTATAGATGACCCTAAACGTTTGGTTTACGTCTACCCGATGACCTCTGTCAACCGAGGGAGCCAAACTCGCGCTTGATATTGATTTTAATTCGACTCTGTTTAGCCAAACACGATGATGTTGGCGCATGCGCTTGAATGGCACTCAGGCTGTTCGACCAATATAACCTGCCCTATAGGACCACGTAAAGGTGTACATATGCATTAAGGAGGTATTGCATTTGTCTGATGATGAATCAACCAAAACACTTCGTTCGCCTAACTTGACTTCCTAAGAATTCTCTTTTCCCACCCCATTTTTAAATAAGGTAATTTTAGTTACTGCATTTGCCTTTTTTAATTAATCTGCTTTGAAAATAACAACAACGTAAAAATTTTTTACAATTGATTAAGAGTACGCCCAATATAACTGTTCAGCTAAGGTGTAGCGAAGCGTTGTGTTAATCAATGGCCATCGACAAAAGCTTCCCCAAGGGTCGGGTTGAATACTGATTGTCCCAGCGTTCGGCTGGAAGCTTTTTGAACAAAGTCATCAGTTTTTCAATGCAAATAATTTGCATTTTCTCTTTAATTGACTGCGTAGTTTAAGAGTTCAAAAGTCCTCGATCATAGCTGTTTAAACTACAGTTTATTATCTTTGAGGGAGCAGGCACGTATAAATGATCACGGGTATTCCACGGTTCGTACTCACACGGAAGGAAAATTACTATTCTTCTATTTCACGAAGATGCCATTTGATTTCAATGTTTGACAATAAAATGTCAATTACCTGTCGTCGTTCACTCACCATTAGGCGAAAAACTGACATAGGAAATTACCTTTGTCATCTTATTTTTTCATCTTCACAGCCCTTACGCCCTGTGTCCTGTGGGCAATCGACCGGCCTTCCTTCCAAACCATTATGATGAAGATGGGCATGCTCAAACAAGAACGTCATCTTACATTTCTGAAAAGGTACGCAACAGTCTCCTTCATTTTTATTCATTCATATTAATCCTCCATTGTTTTGCCTATGACCAACTGCTTGCATTCGCATGGATACACGTAGGGGGGTGTGTTTCGTACGCGTAAGCCCACGCGGCGTGTTGTTTCCTGATTGGACGCTGTATTGGCCAGTCACATTTCACCCTGACTATTCATCTGCTAATTTAAGCCCGATCGCGAAATCTAGGTTTACTTCATCCCTAAAGCCTTCTAACTCAACATTTTGGCTGTATGCATCCTGCGTTGTGCTAGAAAACAATTTTAAAATGTCTACAACGTTCGAGGGTACCGGCACTCGACGCCGAAAGGTCGGGTTAATTCTGCCTGAGGCTCCCAAGGGTTTGATCGTGCCTGAGGAAAGAAGTGATGATATCTTTAAACGAAAGCAACATCTTGGAAAAACTGCCATGACAGCCTCCTTTACGGACAGCCAGTACAGTTTTGGCTCAGTTTCACCCGCTGACGCCACCGATGGCAATTTCTTTGACTCCAAAACCTCTCTCCATCAGTCATTCCGCGATGCAGGTGCTGGAGTCCAGACCTCAATCGAAGAGAAGGATGATGGGCTGGGTAATTCCGTCACCAGTGTCTGTGAGCCGCTTGCGGCTCAAGGCAGCCACAACCGGTCTAACAGCCCTGCACCTTTCTCTGAGTTTTACCTGTCTTTGGACGACAATATATTATGCACCTGCGGGCCCGAAGAGTACTCCTTTGATGGCACTAATGACCAAGTAGTAGAACTCACGTTTGATCTAGACGATCAGAAGGAGAAGAAGGCGTCAGAGCTCCGCCAAAGTCCGCCACATCCTCTGCATTGCGATCATCACTGTGTAGTTCAACCTACTACCCAATGCAGACGGCGCGCCTATCGTCACAGGAAATTACGTCAGGTTAGGCGTTATAGCACAAACCTCTCATATCCACCCTGTACTGTTGTTGCTCTGTTGCGCAGTGTGCCCATCTTTGAGAGCCTGCCACCGGAGAGATTGGCAAAGTTTGTGGATCTGCTGGAGGAGGTACACTACGACCCAGGAGAATACGTCATACGTCAGGGTGCTCGTGGCGATACCTTCTACATCATTGCCAATGGAACGGTTCAGGTGACGCAGAACGACACAACCGCCGAGGCAGGTCTTGCCACTGCTACAGCAGGAGCAGCGAAGGAGAAATTCGTACGACTGATGGGTCGTGGAGAGTGGTTTGGAGAAAAAGCCCTAAAGAAGTAAGTAAATACTTTTTTTTAAATCATATTCATGCCTTTATTGATGCCAAGTACCACGCGTTATTTAACTAACTGTATGTAATTTGCGCAGAGGTATAAATGTCCACATATGTGTTTCATTCCGTTTTTAACTTAGCCTTGTTAGTATTCTAGCTAGTACAGGTTGCATTCATGAAACAAGAAGGGTCACGATTTCCGTTATAAAAGTCACGTTGTTGGGGAGGAATATTAACAACGTTCTGCGTCATTTAGGGAGACTGCAGATCGGTGGTGAGAAGGCTGGTGATAAACATTAAAATGGTAGACGATTACTAGTTATTGGCGTTACGGGATACTCCCGTACCGTAAGAGAGTGTCCACGGCCATACATTATAAGAGCGTGCTGGTACGTCTCTAAATTCAGTGTGGAGTCACAGTGGGACGAGTGTTTTACGAACCGTCATCTATCACTGAACACCTTTTAACAATTGCTAATTAAATAATTCAAAGCCGCCAGGAAAACGAGTCCATTCAAACGAAGTAATTGCATCTTTGTACATTCAACCAAGTCATTCTATAGGGGGAATAAACAATTGCTCATTCATGCAAATAAACACTACAAATGTCACTTTAATTCGGAGTTTTACCAAAAATGATAACCCTTTGATCAGGGTCTTGCACCAGCACTTGTCGACTTGATCGAAACGGCCGCTTGATGAGCAATCGTTAGAAAATTAAGCAGTGAAGCCTACACCTAGTGTCCTGCAACTAGTGAAAAAGGAAGTTTCGGCTATTTATGCACAAGGAACTGTTAGTTGGTTTAGTCAGCACGCTTAAGCTGGCATGGCTGTCCAAGTTCCCGTGTCCCCAAAATGAGGTTTCGCTTAGTCCGTGGTCTGGGGTAATCTATCAATTCTAAAAATGTACCGGCTGATATGACGGCAATCAGCAATGATATCTTTGTAATTAAAAGTTAACGCTGAAGTGCGCAAGGCGGGCAAGCATACAATTACAACTTCCGAGGCTAAACTCCAACTTTGTTTAGCAGTTCCAGTCGAAAAATCCGCTTTGGAAAATAGAACGATGAATTATTTTTTTAAAAAAACCTTCCGATACCACATAAGAATTCTTAAAATATTAACTGTGATAATTGCTGAAAATATTATCAACGGGACGTTGCATTTGACGCCAGCTGATACAAAATGAAAATATACAGTCAAAACACAAAGACCTACTTTGTGATTCAGATCAATTACCTTTCCTCATAATATATCTTTGAAATTGAAAAAAACAAGGGGTTCGGAATCTATCTTTTAAATATAACGTAATGTTTCATTTTTGAGGGACAGAGAAACCTTAAAGGAGTTCTGCGTCATATTCTGTTAGGACCTATACTCTCAATTAAGCGATGCTCCTTATGTAAGCATTCCGGAATTCATATAAGGTGAATTAATATTTTCGAGCATTTATCATCAGGCAAATATAATAATATAAGTGAGGGTACAGGAAACAAACGTTCAAACAACTAATTATTAGTAATAAAGGGATGAGAAGTGTTCAGGATGATATTCACAGATAGGGACCAGGGAGAAGGGAGAACGGGAAGGAAGTCCGCTAATATCGCCCGTCGTCAGTGTCTTGCGGCATGTTGGCAGGCACTATTACGCATGATTTCAGGGTATCGCGACGCGTAGGCGGTGTGGGACGGAATTCTGTCGCATGATTCGAAAAGAGACAAAAAACCAAAAGAAAGCGAAATGGAAAATGTTAAAAAGCAAATGTCTGCATGTTTGTTTTTTTTTACTGCAAACTTATGAAATCGTTTCCAATGGGATGTTTCAACCGGTGATTTATCACACCTGAGGACAATACAGCAACGACGTCATCTGCTTAAAAAAGCTATAGGGAATGCCGCTTGTAGAATCGCGTAACATGATCCGCTGCAAAGCGGGCAGAACTTACTAGTGGGACCGACGCCCAACGGAAGGCCAACCACAGGCTACATGAAAGGAGACTGCCACACACGTATGTAGTACAAAT